GGCCGTGGGGTAGCCTAATGGTTAAATCGTTGGCTTGTCACGCCGAAGACCCGGGTTCGAATCCCCACATGGGTACAATGTGTGAAGCCCATTTCTGGTGTCCCCCGCCGTGATGTTGCTGGAATATTGCTAAAAGCGGCTTAAAACCAAACTCAGTCAGTACTGAGAGCCGTACCGGTGAAAACGGAGAAGTACAACGACGGCAGAACCGAGTCGTTTTCACCGCGGCAGTACAAGAGGTTAACTCGGGGCACCATCCCTGAGTTGGTAATATCGGTTTTAGATATAAAGCATAATCCTGTGAATATAGGATACCTCAGCATAACGCTGCACATAAAATGACTAGCGCACAAGGTCCCGAATGAAGTTGAAAAATGCGTCAATGTGGGGATCTTCGACCTCGAGGACACACCGGATTCGGCGACCCCAGAGTAGATGGAAAACTATATGCCTTGCAGCTTAAAAGCAGCATTTACAAGCGGCGTTGAAGTCCCCTCCATCGGTAGAACCCTAGGTGATATAGTAGATACCTCAGGGCTGCCCTCAACACTTTCGGTTCGACCTAGTCCTCATCGGTGATGATAGATGGTCGGTATACCCATCTTCGAAGGCAAACTGTTTGACTTAGAAGATGTTGAGAAGCACGGCCATTGTTAGAAGCAAGCATTTTACCCTCGTTTTCACCGACGCTGACAAGTGGGTGTTGTTGCCCACTCAAGTCGACTGGTTTCTCAACATTAGTCTCGGCTCCCCCTTCGTGTTCACGGAGAACAAAGACAACTACCTAAACAAAGTCGTGAACAACTGAACCCTGCTCGTGGCTTACGTCCCGGCGCAGAGGCGTAGTGTAATCATCAGCCCACTCTCGAGGTATGGCAGCCCACATGCTATCGAGTAAACCGAGGGTGCAAGACGTGGCATTGCAGATGGTGTCTGAATTCGGCGGTGTGGTTAGAATCCTGGAAGGTCTACCAGCAAATTCCACGCTGGCCATCCAAGTCTACCTAGGGGAACCATCGCCGGACGAAGTCGAAGTCGTGAAGGGAATCAAACTCGGGTGGGTGAAACGGCACCAGTATCAGGTTTGCACTGTTTACGTGCGGCTGGGTGTAGACTCTCACACCAGTCTGCAGGGGGTCACCGTGACCGTGGAAGACACGATATCACTCACCAAGATCTTCCTACCCGACAACATACACCTCATGGGGTTGAAGTGCACCCCTGAGAGGTTATCAGAAAAACAGTTGGAAACTGTCTCGTAATAGTAATATAGCAATGACCAGTCATCGACCCAATGCCACGCTTAACGATCTAGGAGACACGGAGGGATTCGATCTGCCTGGCGAGGAAGACGCCTTGTACGTCCTACACTTGAAAGACAATGTGTATAGGCGGGCGGCAATGGCCGATCATCGACCCAACATCACACTCGGGGACCTAGGAGGCATAGAGGAATTCCATCAGCCCGGCGTGAACGGCACCTCGTACGCCCTGCGATTAAGAGGCGGCGTGTACGTGCGGGTGCCTCTGGCAGACGACTTTAGAGAGCCCAAATGGTTGATCAACATGACCCTCACCACACCTTACGTCTCTTTTCCCAAGGGTGGTCCTATCACTAGTCATATCACCGAAATTAAGAACAATGGTATCTTGCTCGGGGGTTTCATCCCCCCAAACTTTCAGAGTATAAGAGTTTCCCAAACACCAAATCGCCCGGGCTACATGTTAAATACAACCGAGGATGCACGTTTAACATTTACATTATACGCTGGCCTACTACATTCTATGGTTATGCCCCCAGGCTCCACATTCATCATAGAATTCTTTTTCAGAGACGACATTGATGAGGCTAGGGGCTGGGGTCCCCCCTGGCGCCTTTTACCTGGGGTGGAAATAAAATGGCCACATTCATATCCATTTAGGGACCGCCATTGTCGTATCATCATACGACGGAGCTTGGACCCCTCACTGGGGTTGCTGCCCCCCTTAATAAGCAACCATATAGTTAGTATAGAACAAGAGTTACCTATTAACCTTTCCACTATTCATCTACACGAGCACGAAGGCCTTATAAGGCCTTATCAAGTACATTGATTGACTATTACATGAAGCCCAATTAAAAAATATCTTGTAGTATATTATACGCACAGGATGGGCCTGTACCCAGTCGTAGAGGAAGTCGCGAAGACACTGGAAACCGTAGACGGGTTTCGGTTGAAACAGTTATGTGACGTAAAACGCCAACTAAAACAAGACCGCGACACACGGGCAGCATTGTACAAGAAGTACCATAGAGCTTTCAATGTTGTGGATGGGGTTGATACCACCCTTATGGCTATCAGTATGGGGTTAGGGGCAGTAGGTGTGGGGTTGTTGACCACCATCGTAGCCGCACCCGTAGTGCTAGGCATCGAAATAACAGCTGGGGTGTCAGGGTTGGCTGGATTGATGTTTAAGTTTGCGTCATGCAGACTGCATCGTAAGGCATTGAAACACGATGAGATCAGGATCCTAGCCGATGCAAAGTTAAACACCATAGACGACCATATTTCCACCGCACTCACTGACCATAAAATCTCAGAGGGAGAGTTTCGTTTGGTCCTCTCTGAACTCGCAAAATATCATGAAATGAAACGAAATTCGAAACAAGTCTCGTAAAAGAACTGTCATCAGTGAAGACGAGAAAAAAAAGTACATAGAACAGGGGATACAACAAGCCCAGCAAGCCTTCATTACGAAAATCAAAGAAATCATAGGAGATTCACGTTAAACTGTTTTGCTGAGATCAACATCATGTAGGGTAGCCACGGGCCGCCGTCAGAGAGGAATCACGGCACAATGTTACCCCCCAAGCAAAATATTTAACACTTACCTTGTCGAGTGATCCTAATAGTATCCTGTAGCCAACTGTTTCCTCGAGGTCAACACGACATAGAGCTATCATGTCACGTGATCAGGAAAGTGTTGGTTCACGGTCATAGTGACCAGGAAGTTAACTCGGGGTTCAAACCTGGTATATACAATAGCGGAGAGAGATAAGGGCCTGACAAAAGCTTTATTTCATAAATGAAGCTTTACAGAGTCTTTTGTTGGACTTGATCTCGTACCCCCAGTGTATATACTACTAATGTGTTAAAGTCCATTTCTGGTGTCCCCCGCCGTGATATTGCTGGAATATTGCTAAAAGCGGTGTAAAACCAAACTCACTCACTCACTTTCTAAAACAAGAATGAAAAAGGTCTAATTTCAAATAATTTTTGCTTGCAGAATCATCAAGGTGTGTTTCAGTTGAACACAATATGTCGTTTTCAGAATTTTGATTAGACATGCGAGGCAGTTTGTATCGTAGACTTCTAGTATGAAAGTGAAATATGGCTAGTTCTTTTATGGAAGCGGGTTCACTGAAATTGGACCAGGAATTTGTTCCACGTTTACCTTCAATAGCTGAGTTGTTACAATGCAAACCTAGCTATGCTCTGCACTCAAATGATCAGTCATTTCCTTGTGGGTTAGACCAACTCCGTGGTGTAGTGGTTAGAGCGTCCGCCCGCAGAGCGGAAGGTCGCGGGTTCGATCCCCGACCGCGTCATACCAACAGACGTTAAGATATGGTACTTGTTGGTCCCTGCCTGGCACTGGGCATTAATGGGTACAGCAAGGACTGGTCGGCTCGGAGTCAGTATAATGTGTCTGAGTGGGGTATTCATGCTTCACTGCGGCATGGTATCTCAGTGGGCTAGCACTATAAAACCAGCCTAAGTCTGGGCTAGTACAAGCAGGCGCACATACACATACACACGCATGCATGTCGTCATATGAGCAAAATATTCTCAAGCACGACGTAAAACCGACTTTCACCTCACCTCACCTCACCTTGTGGGTTAGCCTATTGGTTATAGCGTTTGCTCATTCTGGGTTTCGATTCCCCACATGGGTACAATGTGTGAAGCCCATTTCTGGTGTCCCCGCCATGATATTGCTGGAATATTGCTAAAAGTGGGGTAAAACTACAGGGCTACAACGTGCTGGTCACACTGAACACTTCATGAGTCTTGTAGTACTTGGTACTTTTGTTGTATAGTTACATATTGTACAGGCTGTAAGCCCCTTGTCATCAACATGCTCGACCTTTTTAATAGCATTTATTCTGTTTCGCTTCCAATGCTAATGAAGCTGAGATCAAGGAGTGCAACTTCAATCATTTTAGTTGTTATGAAGCCACTGACGCATGAGATTATGAATGCTAACTCCAATAACTGCAACAAAAAAACACAATCACTGGAAGTGTGTACAGAGCACGTACAGTCACACGATCACGATCACTTCATCAAACATTTTTGATAAATTCTCTAAAAATAGTACAGTAAATAACCAGGAAATTGGCCCAAATGAGCACTAAACTGTTACAAACATGATATCATCTTATATTGTCCGTAATCCCCGATCACTATCACTGGCGCGCTCACTGTACTGAATCACTATCACTGGATGCCTGCAGTACAGGGTCCAGGGGTTGAATTTGTCAACCCCAGATTGAAATATTTTTCAACAGCAGTTACTCTGCTATTTTTTTCGTTAGTTGTCGTTGATGAGGTGAATCGTTAAATTCATGATTTCCAATTCGTGATTGAAAAAGTATTTTGGACATAGATAATGACAATAACTAGATCTTGGTATGTCTTACATATGAATGCTCATTAAACTTGGGATAAAATTCTAACATCACAAAAACTGCATTTGTTATGAACAGTGCTCCTCCACTGATGATGCGTTCACCACACTTGTAACTGTGATGGTAACAAATATAAAATGCTGGTACCTTCTTACAGCTTATCCTCTGCTGAATAAATTATACCTGGAAAGAACATGGTATTAATTTGGAACATCTTCTTACAGCATGCTGTGTACTCACCTGAAAGGCTGATGAAGAACATTCTGGCTCATATTCACTACATGCCGGAGTCATTGGAATGGCAATGCGCACACATACAAGGTCTTGTGATGAGTTTGCTCTGCTCTTCCAGTATAAAGCTGTGAGTATATAATTTGTTTTCTGACATCTGTTGAGTTTTATGTCCAGAACACAGTCTGTAGTATGGTTTATTATATATACCCATGTAAACTTAGGATAGTAATACAGGGGTGCAATCACGAATTTGACGACGTCATCCATATTGAACCCCTGCCATTACGCTTATGATTTGTTTTATTAAGTAACTTCGAAGATGTCATGGGAGCAGAGAAACAACTTCGTTCTTGAACTCGTTGTTTCTCTGCTCTCCATGACATATTCTCGTTCAATACAAAACATCCAAATGCACTAGTAGGGCGTTGTATATATGTATCAAATGTCCTGTAATGGCATCAGTAATCTCCAGCTGAAACATGCAGACAGGAAATTTCAAAGCTGATGTATGGGATTAGTCGCAGTGTGTTCTACTGCGACTGTGTGTTAAGCATTCATTCACTCAAGAAGGCATGGTTTGGATAAGTCGCCAAATGGCGATTTGAGGGAGTCTGAACCACTGATCTTGCAGCACATAGAAAAGTTCAGCTGAAGTGGTCAGTGGTAGTGCTGGTTATCGCTCACAATGTACAGATTGATAACCGAAGCTCAGCAATCGATCAATAATTGATTGTAATCTAGGCGATTGAGGATATTTACTGTTGAGGTCACACGCAAGTTAACAACATAACAATAAGAAACCTACCTTCTAAAGTTTGATTTGATGTTTGATTTTCATCCCCCCAGCATGTAATAGTCGACACCGCATCCGGCCGTCTGTAATCATTTTGTTTCCGGAGCATAACTCAAAAACCGTTCAATATTTTTCAACAAAACTTGCTAGATATATCAAACAGAATTAAAGGTGGTGCCTTTTGCTATTTACAGATTTTTGTCATTTTTATTTTTCTCGGTTTGGACTTAGTCTCAAAGGGAGGGGTGGGTTTCGTTTCCACAGCACAACTCAAAACCATTCAATATATTTCAACAAAACTTGGCAGATACATGAGACAGATCCCAAAGTGGTGCCTTTTGCTATTTGCAGATTTTTGGCATTTTTATTTTTCCCGGTTTCCATGGAAACGTTTCGGACTTAGCTTCAAAAGGGAGGGGTGGACTTTGTTTCCAGAGCACAATTCAAAAACAGTTCAATATTTTTCTGCAAAAATTGGTAGTTATATGAAACAGAACTTAAAGTGTTGCCTTCTGCTATTTACAGATTTTTGTGATTTACTATTTTCTCGGTTTCCATTGAAACGATTCAGGCTTAGCCTCAAAAGGGAAGGGTTGGTTTTGTTTCCGGAGCACATCTCAAAAACTGTTCAATATCTTTCAACAGAACTTGGCAGATATATGAGACAGATTTTGAAGTGGTGCCTTTTGCTAATTACAGATTTTTGGCATTTATGTTTTTCCCGGTTTCCATGGAAACGATTTCGACTTAGTCTAAATAAAAAGAATCAAGCTGGACTTAAAGTAACTGTCAGATGATTTGTTCTTTCAAATATGTGGGGGTTGGGAGGATATGTCATCTTCTGATGACTCTTGTTAATGTAGGTGTAGACCCGATTTGATTTATTAAAACTGCCCTTGCGCTTTTTCCTAGTCTGTTTAATTGTAATGATACTGGTCTATGTAAACATTTAGATCAAGTCTACTAGAGGATATTTCTTATGCACTTCTGAAAGATCAAAGCATGTTCCAAATCAGTCAGCACCAGGCTACTTTGATTCAAGGTCATAGTGTATGTGTTCTATTTTACAGATATACCTTGTGGAAGAGCTCCTGAGCCCCATCATTACACCATTCATTCTTTGCTTTTGTCTGAGGAAAAAATCACTAGAAATTGTTGATTTTTTTCGGAACTTCACAGTGGAGGTTGTTGGGGTTGGTGATGTCTGCTCCTTTGCTCAGATGGACATTAGGAAACATGGAAACCCACAGGTGAGAATGCATGGAATTTGTATGTGTAACCACCTCAGTGACACATTAGCACTTAAGTATCTCGAAAGTGTTTCCTTCCAGGATAATCACTGGCCTGTCATTTCTTATCTGTACATCAGTTATAAGTGAATATAATTTTTAAATCTTTGTTGCATCCAGGTTTCACATTGTATTTTTGAATAAATGAAACAGGAAATTGCAATGCAAAGTGCTGCTGTCTGAGATTTAAAACATCTATGTTAAGTCATCTATGTTAAAAAACTCCTTTGGGCCAGTGTATCAGTCTACTAATTCAGAGATGCCAACCTCTATGATTTTATCGTAGTCGCTACAAATTTTATCCTCAAACTATGCCAATACGATTGCACTAGAATTTCTACGAAATTTGAAGAAAATTCATTAAAAATCAGATATATAGACAAAAACATATATTTTCGTTGATTAAATACATTTTCACCAAAAAGAGACAAGGAGAAATGCAGTGCTGATTATTTTGAACTCTGCTGTTGGAGGTATGTGAAATGAAATCTTCACTCTTGATTAGTCTCATATTACCTTTCTCAGAATCCATCATGATTTTAAGTATTTAGTTGACTACTAATTTTATGGTCAAACTACTAATTTTGATCCTCGAAACTACTATTTGCAACACTTTGGGGGTGGCATCTGTGCTAATTGTTGGGTGCTGTAAAGTCAGGGGTGGCCCAATTATCTAAGGTGCCATATTTTTCTCCAGAACCTTTGGATCAATAAAATCACATGATTGTTTCCCCCAAATTTGGATAAAACAGCATGTGAGTATTACAACCTCTGTCGGTTCGCAATAAAAGCTCCACATGTTGGCCTCGATCATCTCTCTATATACTGGCATTGTTTTCAGTTGAGATTATTGCCAGTCTGAGAGGATTACAGAAACAATATATGTTGTCAACCATCTTAACATAGATGCATTTGTAATATGTAAGAGATGGGAATTGAATTTCTTTTCATTAAATTATGTCCTGAAAATAATAGTCAGGACAATGTATAATATTTAAAACTTATCCTTTCTCACGTCTTGTACTCTCTCTCTCTCTCTCTCATGTTCGACACCTGAATGGAAATGAACTGTAAACAAAGTTTCCAGCCTCTCTTGTACCATTCACCCAAACACTCCCCACAGCTCCCATTACTGGACATCCTTTAAGCCTCTGAAGCATGCAGCATGCTCTCCGGTTGATCATGTGACTCCTTTGTCTCATCATTCTCTTTCTTATCGCACAGCAGTGCAGATGTGCTGTAACTGAAGTTATAATTTCACTCAATCCTATAACACCATGAGCAAGCAAGATTCTTCATTTAGAAAATGGAAATTTTGCTATCAATGCAAGGTCTCATCAGACTTTTATTTGAACAAATATTTGAGAAGCTTGTTCTGTCCTGATGTAGAACCACCCAAGTCTACAGTCGTATCCAGAGTGGTGGTGGTGGTGGTTAATCAGTCTCAGGATGAACAATATCCCACACCAACCCCGTCAGATACAGAGGGCGTGACGGAGCGTCTCCCGTGTATCAACCGTCCAATCTATGATCCAGTCTTCAGCAGTGTCAGCAGATCAGCCTTCTTTGACGGTTACAGCGCAGCTTACGACTTCACCTATATCCATGTCCTACGAATGGCGGGCCAGTCAGGTTCAGTGAATCGCACCAGTTGGGGCGGTTTGGCAGTTCGTTCCAGATCAGCGATTCAATTCAGTTCCACGTATCAGCCTTGGGATTCAACTTATCCCTACAGTAGTGGGATACCGGAGCCTCAGACCACTAATTCATCACAATAAGTTTTACCGGTTTCTTGGGATCACACGCGAGACACTCAACCGCAACTTTGACATGATGGTATGTGCACTTTCCACTGTGTGGAGACAAATACAACAGCCCGAACAATGTCGACTGGAACAGCATGTTGGGGAGACCTCACCCCCGAACTTTCAGATTGGACCCACTACAATTTCATGATCCTCATCTCCATCTCCTTCATACTCGGAAGATTTGTCCACCCCAGAGGGGGCTATTGACTAAGTGGACCCTACAATGATGTTAGCTTGGATTGTGGACAATCTTAAATTATTGAAGAGTAGATCATCAGAGGATATGTTGACCACTTTTCACATGAAGGATCAGGACTTGTATCCATTAGTTTACCACCTCATCCGTGTATCACTCAGATGGCGGCTTAATTAGATGAGGCCTTTAAGAAGTTAAAGCGGGTTTGTGATAGATTTTCTGTCCAAGTTCTCGTTGTCAGAAGCTCAAGTACTTGGGTTCGGCAATCTGATCGTTTCACCTACTGTTGATGAGGACATATTTTCACTTTGTCCTAAGTGGAATGATTCACCTTTCCTCATCGTGGACTGAGAACCTATGCACTTGGATACTGGAATACGTCGGACCCTTCCTTCCATCAACTGTATCAACCACATACTGTGACTCAGGAGCAGGTGCACATCATACATGATCCGTTCCAGGTAGTACTCAACCAGATCACACACTTCCGAGGATACATGCTAGCAATCAGACTACGTGATCCACTTCGTGTGATGAACGCTACAGAGTTTAACTTTTTTGCCAGCTTTGGTTCATCATCTGTTCGTTGCCACATCACTCTGAGGTTGGGGAGCTCACTTTCACGATCTTCAGGTGGCAGGGATGTGGTAATCAGACAAGCAGTCCCATCACATAAAATAATCTGGAGTTCAAGTCAGTCATTCTAGCCATATCTCATTGGACCTTCAGTCGACCAGTCTTCTCATATAGTCAAACAACTTGACGGTTGTATGGTACATCAATCGGGCGATTCAGTTCTTCCAGCTGATAGACTCCCTGAACATCACAGCGAGAGCCAGACAGATACCATGGGTGGAAGAACGTCATCGTAGATGCCCTATCACGATCAGACTGACCATCCCTATCCACATATCTTCCAATCCATCTGTCTCCCAATCACCTACCCTCAGGTGGATCTATTTGTAATAAGGTTCAACAACTAGTTACCCAGGTTTGTCTCTCCAATCCCAGATGCTCTAGGATGGGACAAAGCAATGTCTTGGGAGAATCTGAACGTTTATGCATTTCCGCCACCGGCTCTACTACCTCGAGTATTACAGCAGCTATAGTCCACCAAGAAAATGACTCTGGTTATTTTTGTGCCTTACTGGTCGGCTTGAAGTTGGTTCGTAGACTTTCTAAAAGTCGCCGATCCAGAGTGGTTCTACCCGTCTGAGATGATGCACTGGTCCATCCACACACAGATTGACTTCAGGGGTCCCTGCAGACATTCCATATTCATGTATGACGCATTTGCATGATTGCCAAGGTTTATTCCAAGAGATTGGCTGGGGCTATTACCTCAGCTCATTGTTCTTCAACACTTTCTCTATGATGATAAATGTAAGAATTTTTAGGGTTACTGCAGAGTGAAGGGTATTCTGTCCCCTACTGCAGTTTCTGCCCAGCAGACTGTTGCCAAGTACCTACAACATTTGGGAACATCTAAGCAGTTTAATGGAACCACTTTAGCTACGGCTGCGGGCATCAAAATATCGGCTCATACAAGCTAGCCGATCAGTCCAAGAAATTCTGAGCTTCTGCTTGTGATCTTTCCATCATGCTTCAGCAACTCGTCTCGAATGACTATGAACCTCTAGGTGAGAAGAGTTTTGAGCGCATTACTTTCAAGACCTTCTTCCTGGTAGTATTAGCTACTGTGGCTTGAATGTTGGAACTCCATGCTATGGATGTTAATCATGTTCAATTCGAGGGGAAGAAACGTGGAAGTTTTCCTGGGTCTTCCGTGGGACTTTATAGGGCAGGGCATGTGGATAGGCTCTTCATTATCCCACCATTGGCCACTATTCTCAGGCCAGATCATATGGAGGATCTCTCACTCTGCCCAGTTAGAGCCTTAAAGGCACAATGTCACACATTTTGACAATATTTTGGTATGTATTATATTTATTTGGGCACATGCATTTACATTAGCTTCTTTAAGGATCTACATTGTTGCTTCACAAGACAGTCAGAGGCTACATAAACGTCTCTTCATTCCGCTTTCAGCAGCTTCTTTGGCAGAAGCATTCTGGATGAGATTGACTATTCTTCAAGTTTACACCTTCGCCTGACTTACCCCTCCAGATACATCGACTGGCATGAAACTCGAGCACTAGCCTCTACGATGGTTTTACACGGCAACTATTTGTTAACTTTCACCATGGAGGGATGCTTTTGGAAGTTTGAGACGGTCTTTGCCTCCCACTACTTATGTGATCTATCAGTGACTGATCCGGAAGGACTACATCTATTTGGTCCCTTGGTACCTGCGCAGCAACTGTCCTTGGCCAAACAACCAAGATAAAGGCATCATCGGATATCATTTGTGATATCAGTGTTACCTTGTATTGTATATTACCGTAGAAAAGCCGAATTTTGAGGATGAAAAAAAAGCAGTCTGTAGGAGGAGGGCGGCTTATCTAACAAACAAGAGTAGACGATTTTGTCAGTAAAGAGGTCAAATTAAACAACACTAGATAACATAATTTACCTATTCAGTGAAAATTTGTTTTTTGCTTGGCATTGTCTTATATGCAAGGATTAAGATTACTGTGTGTAACTATTATATAAAAAAAATATATTCTAGTATTGTGTCATTTTAATTGCAGGTTTTGCTCTATACATGTAAAATATTTATAATCATAACTAAGGTTATGCGACAGTTTTCTGGAATGGAACAGTTTTGTGCATGGAACAATTTGACCTGTCACCGATGTGGTTTTGCACGTTCTTGCTATTTCCACCTCGTAAACAGTTTGTTGACATGTGATCATCCAGCTTCACTAACTATGACCTTTGGCGAAACAAAATATGTGTGCGTATCCATTTTATGTCAACTACACTTCATTTCGAGACGTGAGTAGACGCACTATGTTAGTGATTGCTGTGAATAATGCTTGCCTAAGTTACAAATA